GATTGTCCAATCATGCTTGGCATGCGCCCCCCGACCGGGAGTATAAGTACGCGTGATGCTTGTGTTCGCTGACGTGGCGGAGCTGCAACTTCAGCTCGAACTTGCGGAACCATGGAATCGAGTCCGTCTTCATCGAGTCGCAGAAGATCTCCTGCCCATCGAACTTTGGAGTTGTCTCGCGCGGTTCTGATCTCGAGTGGGTGGCGGCAGTACAGATCCACTGCTCCAACTGTTGTGTTGCGATTTGTTGTAACTGCACGCCGTCCTTGAGGGATCCGACGTCAATCTCCAATGCCTCAAGGCGATCGGAGGTGTTGGAGGAGCTGGCAACGGGGGGGGTGACGGTTTGTTCCAGCTGCTGGAAGCGGCTGTTGACTTGGTCAAACACCTGATTATGCGTCTGAACCGCGTCAAGAAAAGCAAAAAAAAATTGATTTTCGACAGTGAGGTCAAATCATGATTTTGGGGGCTAACTAGTGTGCTCTAATCAATCAATCAAGACTAATCAGCTACTTAGTCCTTGCACACGTGTCAGATCAGGTTGTCCTGATTCACGTGCGGTGTTCCGATACCAACTGTTACATGCCCAGTTGGGCGATGTACATAAACAACCGAGGATCCGCAATGTGATGAAAAGGACCATACTTGCAAGCGCACATCGTGCGGCGCACGCGCCCAACCGACCCCGTGCGGCGCACGATGTGTGCGGGGACCGACCCATCAACCCATCAGAAAAAAAAAAAGGTCGGGTTCGAAATGGTGCGTTTGAGGCCCCCCGCCAAAATTACAAGCGAGATGAAATTTTTTTTTATAGGAGTACTGCCTCACCTTGCTCCTCCTCCGCTTCCTCATCCTCCATGTCTCCTCCTCCCTTCTCCTTTTCATCTCGTCCTCCTCCTGTTCGTCCTCCTCCTCCTCGTAGTACTTCCTCATCTTCCATGCCTCCTCGTCTCCTTCCCTTCTAGATGTCCTCCCCTTCCTCGCCGTTCATGTTTCCTCCTCCTCCCACTCGTCGTCGTCCTCCTCCTGCCCTTCCTCTCTTCTCCTCCCCCCATCTCGACGACTCCTAGTCGTCCTCGCTATCCTCGGCGTCSTCCTCGTCCACATCCTCCTCCTCCTCTCCATATCCCCCTCTCCTCGCCATATCCCCATCTTCCGGTCATACACCCCCCCGTTCCCCCTCCAAGAAAAAGATAAAAAATAATAATAATAATAAAAAACCTGCACGATTCCACACAGGCACCCCCCGCACGGAACTCTGCACGAATGTGCAGCTCATGCGGTTGCAAGTACGAAAAGGACTGAATGGACAATGCAGTGCAAGTGAAATCTCAACAAGCAGTGTACATCCTGATACATACAAAATGGTGCTTTATAGCGCAGTGGAAGACTTAGATACAAATCCTGACCTGACTGGGACTGACCTCTCTCACGTAGTGCAAGACAACACAGCAGAATGCTAGAATACCAATGACTAGCCCAACCAATGTCGCAGTACAGACCAAACATGCATCATCCTCATCCCAAGGTGTGAAGGGGCCTGGCGCTACACATAGGAAGAATGCGCCACGTCAGTCCATGCACAGACGAAGTGGAGGGGAGCAGACGAAGAAGAAGGTGGAAGATGGGGATGTCGGCAACACCGAGTCTTCGTTACAAGTCCCAGATAATCCCTCGTCAAATGTCTGAAGCCCAATGTCGAGTCTGGATCCAAATGTCACCAAGCCCGCTCTCTCATAGTCTGCTGATGCAGTGAAGTCAGGTAGTGAGAGGGTGAGAGGGAGATGGTGGACTGAGAAGAGGAAGAAGAAGAACTCTCACTCTCTCATGTGCCAGGTACTAACCTGTGAAGATGGCACTGTGCTGCAGGTACCTCGAAGGCGAAGCTGGAGCTATGGCGCTGCAGGTAAGTCTCCCTGGCCTCCGCCCAATCTCTCTCTCTCTCTAGTACTACTCTAGCTCCTAATAGCGCCCAGCGCTGAAGACTACTACTAACGCTACTAGCGCGCAGCGCTGAAGACTACAGCTAGTGCTACTTCTACTCCTGCAGCGCTCCTCCAGAGTGCTGCTGCTGAATCCTGAAGACTACCTCCTGCCTCCTGAACTGCACGTGAAGTGCCTGGGAAGTACCTAGGAACTACCTGCAGCCTGCAGGGCGGGCCAGTCTTATATAGTGCTGGGCCTGCTGGCCCGTCCAGGAGGCTGCTCTTGCCAATGCCAAAACGTGCCAGACCCTGGGGTTGAAGCTCAAACAAAGGTTGTCTTGAAAATAGGCCAAAAATGGCCTGAGTTAAAACCCTGGTCTGGTACCTGAGTTTCAGGGCAGGTCGATCTTATGAGGGCCTGAAAATGGCCCTCTGTTTCAGGCTGAAAAGACTCAGGGCCGGAAAGGCCCTGTTTTAGGCTGAAACGACACAGGGCCTGTAGGCCCTTGTTTTCAGGCTTTCAGGCTGAAACGACACAGGGCCTGTAGGCCCTTGTTTTCAGGCTTTCGGGCTGAGAACGACGCGGGCCTGAAAATGGCCCGTGCAGCCTGTTGCAGGCGCAGCATGTAACAATAGGCAGGTAAGTACCTTGCCACTCTCCTCCTTGGTCCCCTTCTCCCTCCTCCTACCGGTAGAGCTCCACCATAGCCAAGGTGGAAGCTCCCGGCTTCTTCCTCCCAGAAGCGCTGTAGTACCCAGCGCTACTCCAGCGAGCGCTCCAGCAGCGTGTCGCCAGACTTGCACACTGAAGAATGAGGCCGGGCTCTTCCCTCGGCCTCTTGATATAGCAGCCTACTTGCCTCCTGGGCGGTGACTTCCACGCCACTCGGCCTCCCAAGGAACCGGTACCTCCTCCCTTTCGGAGGGAAACATCATTGCAGACTCTGATATTGCCTGTACAGGCTCTAGACTCAGACTGGATGGACTGGTACTGGCCTAGACCTAGCCTACCGCTACTGGGCCTCTAAAAATGCCAACTTTGTCTTCTTCTGCTCGGCCTCGAATACCCGGCAAATCTACTGCTACTGGGTGCGGTACCGGCCTACCTGCTACTTGAGTGTTTTTCCGCTGCTCTAAGCACCACGGGCCCCTGGCTCCGCAACTTGAGTGTTTTCCCTGCTGCAACCCTTAATGCCACGGCCACAGGTAAGTACCGGCCCTACGGGCCTGCCAAACAAGCAAGTACCCTTGCGGGTCACACACACACTCATACCGACAAGCACTCAGACAGGCACGCAGGTCACAAGCACACACACACACAGACTTAGAAAACTCAGCAGAATGCGGGTCATTACACCACACTTGTTTGAATGAGAATGAAACCCCCGTTGGTGGCCATCACAGCAGTCGGGGACCGTGAGCAAGTGCCTTTTTTGGTGGGCCCATTCGGCTTCCTGCGTGTTCGGGATGCTGGTGAAGTTCCTCTATCCTGCCCGTCTTGAAATATGGACCAAGGAGTTCAACATGCATGCGAGGCCGTGGGTGCTTAGCCCACGAGGCGGAAGAAACCTGAGTAACTCTCGGGAAATGATTATCTTGGCCCCCGCAACAATGAGGAGTGCAGCAAAATGAAATACTCAATGTTAATTGCAGAAAGGGAGAAAAAAAAGAATGGCCGTGATGATGGCGACAGTGACCATGAGACAACTACTAGGTGAGGGGTTAAGTTCTGGGCAGAAGAAAGATAACGAAGACAATGTGTTCCCAAAACTGTTTGCCAATGGGAAACAGCCAGCAAGAGTCGTACTGGAGGAACTCAACCTCAATGAGAGAGAGGCCATGGGCAGGAGCCAAGCCAGACAGGAGGAAGTGCAAAGGCAATGGATCTTGTGAAGGAAGTGTTAGGCACTCGATCTCTGTATAACCACTGACCATGACAAGAGAGGGTAAAGGTAAGGCAAAAACATGTAAGACATGCAACTTACCACAAATGTGCCTCAGAGGATATTATGATTCAGAAAGGAGCTTAAAGCCTTGATTGAGAATAAAACATTGAGTTGGGTTTCCCTACTCGAGGAATATTGGAAAGTCAATACAGCATGCATAGTATTGCATACATTTGTGCAATTTTACTTGTTTATGTAACACATTCTCAAAGCACAGGTGAGCGCCAAAAAAAAATGAAGCGAAGGGCGTCTATTGAGGTCGTTTGGAATTCTCCACTCACTGAGTACCCCACTCTACAATTCATATCACAAAATGTGCAGAAATCTCTCTACTGTGACCACCAAACATCCATCATCCCACTTTATGCTGTGTGTCCAATAAGGCCCATATTCATGTAACACACATTCTCAAAGCACAGGTGTGGACATGGCCAAAGAAAGGTGTCAGCAACGGGTTTCTGTTCAGGCCCGTTTATAATTCTCCACTCCTTGAAACAGGCCAGTTCGGAATTCTCCACTCATTGAACACCCTGCACTCTACATTACATGTGCAGTAATGTCTCTACTATAACCACCAGCATCCATCATTTCGGTGTGTGACCAATAAGGCCCGTGCAGAACAGTTGAAGTTCAAATATGTGACATTAGTCCAAGCCCTGTGCAGACGGGTATGGATGCTCGTAAACATGGGAGGCCCTGGCACACCCGTGTGGCAACAGAAGCATTAAGGCCAGAAACACCCTAGTGCTGCTGAGTTCGCCCACAGGAGTTCCAGTCAGCACGGCTGTCCAAAAGAAACAACCACCATCATCCAAAAAAGGAGACTGCGAACCACCGGTGCTTTAAGGCACTATGTCTATGCCCCTATATTTTTTGAAACAGGGATCACAGGGACCACAGCCACAGTTCACACTCTCTCAGCCTCCTCGCGCGGGTTGCATGACAAGAGAATCCCAGTAAAACAAAATAACACCATGCATTCATTTGTGATCAGCCAGCCTGATACTTGGTTTCAATGCTATGCATTGTGTAGGATAATCAAGGTCAGCATATGTGGTAAGCAAGAGGAGAAGAGTCCTACTCAACCAGAAAGTGTCTGATGACCATTGAAGGACGTAAGAGCACTTACTGCATCTGACAAGAATGTCAACATGTCACGATATGTCTTTGATTCCTGCATGTGCAGGGGGGGGTAGTCAGCCAAGTCTGATGTAATAGCTGAGACAAAGGAGTAAATGTCCATACAGATCCGGTGTGTGACCAGGTGGTTCGCATCATGGCGGCGTGGATCATCCTTCAAATAGATGTACGTAGGTGGTGCAACATCCTTCACAAAAGTAATCATTTTCTCCGACAATGCCTGTGCTCCTCCAATCTGCAAGCGAAGCAGAGAACACATCCACAGGTCAATCATCTTATGCCATCCGTGAAGGATAACATTTGCTCGTTATTTCAGAAAGAATGTGAAGTAGAAACCCTAAATCCATCCAGCTTTCATGTTTCCCTTGGGTCTCCCTGTTGCTGCCTTGCTCTCACAGTTTCTTCCCCTTACCGACTTTCCCTCTGATCATTTTGACGTCCGCCACTTTTCTCATGCAAGATAAGAGTTTTTGCCTAGATCCATTTTTGTAGGACAAAGCAGCTGCCTGCCACACTTGCAGCAGGAGGGTGTGAGATTTAAAAGGGCCTTTACCCGTCAATACACCATTCAGACCCTCTAAAAGAGAATCAGCGTTAAAGGGGTGAAAAGGGAACCCCGTGGAAGGTTCAAAATACAGCGTCCAAAGGTAAAGCACTTTGAACAGATGCGAATGGGACCCAGCCAGCAAGTCAACAGACGAGTAGACAAACGAAAAGTCACCTCTGGGGGTCAAAAGTCACATCTCTGAAAGAAAGCAAAGGTCTGTCGAACAGTCAACATGCATCTGCACACGAAGCTACAGAAAGGGAATGTATGTAAAA